AGTCAAACATCAAGTAGACCAGTCCTAGTGAGAACCAGTCAAACGTCAAGAAGACCACTTCAAGTGAGAACCAGTCAAACGTCAAGGAGACCACTCCAAGTGAGAACCAGTCAAACATCAAGGAGACCACTCCAAGTGAGAACCAGGCAAACATCAAGGAGACCACTCCTAGTGAGAACCAGTCAAACGTCAAGTAGACCACTCCTAGTGAGAACCAGTCAAACGTCAAGAAGACCACTCCTAGTGAGAACCAGTCCAACATCAACTAGACCACTCCTAGTGAGAACCAGGCAAACGTCAAGGAGACCACTCCAAGTGAGAACCAGTCCAACATCAAGGAGACCACTCCTAGTGAGAACCAGTCAAACGTCAACTAGACCAGTCCTAGTGAGAACCAGTCAAACGTCAAGAAGACCACTTCAAGTGAGAACCAGTCAAACGTCAAGGAGACCACTCCAAGTGAGAACTAGTCAAACATCAAGGAGACCACTCCAAGTGAGAACCAGGCAAACATCAAGGAGACCACTCCTAGTGAGAACCAGCCAAACATCAAGGAGACCACTTCTAGTGAGAACCAGTCAAACATCAAGGAGACCTCTCCAAGTGAGAACCAGTCAAACGTCAAGAAGACCACTTCAAGTGAGAACCAGTCAAACATCAAGGAGACCACTCCAAGTGAGAACCAGTCAAACATCAACTAGACCACTCCTAGTGAGATCCAGGCAAACGTCAAGGAGACCACTCCAAGTGAGAACCAGTCCAACATCAAGGAGACCACTCCAAGTGGAACCAGTCAAACGTCAAGGAGACCACTCCAAGTGAGAACCAGTCAAACATCAAGGAGACCACTCCTTGTGAGAACCAGTCAAACATCAAGTAGACCACTCCTAGTGAGAACCAGGCAAACATCAAGGAGACCAGTCCTAGTGAGAACCAGTCCAACATCAAGTAGCCAACTCCAAGTGAGAACCAGTCAAACATCAACTAGACCACTCCTAGTGAGAACCAGGCAAACATCAAGGAGACCACTCCAAGTGAGAACCAGTCCAACATCAAGGAGACCACTCCTTGTGAGAACCAGTCAAACATCAAGGAGACCACTCCTTGTGAGAACCAGTCAAACATCAAGTAGACCACTCCTAGTGAGAACCAGTCAAATATCAAGTAGACCACTCCTAGTGAGAACCAGTCAAACATCAAGTAGACCACTCCTAGTGAGAACCAGTCAAACGTCAAGAAGACCAGTCCTAGTGAGAACCAGGCAAACATCAAGGAGACCACTTCAAGTAAGAACCAGTCAAACATCAAGTAGACCACTCCTAGTGAGAACCAGTCGAATGTCAAGTAGACCACTCCTAGTGAGAACCAGTCAAACATCAACTAGACCACTCCTAGTGAGAACCAGGCAAACGTCAAGGAGACCACTCCTAGTGAAAACCAGTCAAACATCAAGGAGACCACTCCAAGTGAGAACCAGTCAAACCTCAAGGAGACCACTCCTAGTGAGAACTAGTCAAACATCAAGGAGACCACTCCTTGTGAGAACCAGTCAAACATCAAGTAGACCACTCCTAGTGAGAACCAGTCAAACATCAAGTAGACCACTCCTAGTGAGAACCAGTCAAACATCAAGTAGACCACTCCTAGTGAGAACCAGTCAAACATCAAGTAGACCACTCCTAGTGAGAACCAGTCAAACATCAAGGAGACCAGTCCTAGTGAGAACCAGTCAAACATCAAGTAGACCACTCCTAGTGAGAACCAGTCAAACATCAAGGAGACCACTCCAAGTGAGAACCAGTCAAACATCAAGGAGACCACTCCTAGTGAGAACCAGTCAAACATCAAGTAGACCACTCCAAGTGAGAACCAGGCAAACGTCAAGAAGACCACTCCAAGTGAGAACCAGTCAAACATCAAGGAGACCACTCCTAGTGAGAACCAGTCAAACATCAAGTAGACCAGTCCAAGTGAGAACCAGGCAAACGTCAAGTAGCCCACTCCTGGTCAAAAGCAGAGAAGCATCAAGGCAATATCTAGTGCTGTACATGTAATTGTAGTGTTAGTTTGCTCTAGTATATTCAAATAATGAAGTTTGTCTTTGTTTTCAAGTCAACAGATTTCCTGTTCAAATGCGCATTGAGCCAATGCTCATCTCCTGTTTACAGCCGGTAGCCAGGAGTGGAAATTCCACATTCCTGTGACAGGGGCGAGTACATTTCAAAGAGCAACTACTGTTGAATTCCCCACAAAGCGTACTGATTTTGTCAACCCCAGAAAGATGGTGGGCTGAGTCAATTCCCCTCTCTGATTGAGAGCCACTCGCTCTGCCAATGAGACACCAGGCCAATGTGCACAAGACACGTGACAACAACACCTCCTGGTGGAGACAAGACACGTGACAACACCACCTCCTGGTGGAGGCAAGATGCATGACAACGACACCACCTCCTGGAGGAGACAAGACAGGTTAGCCCACCTCCTAGTAGAGGCAAGATACGTGGCAACACCAACTCCTAGAGGTGACAAGACAGCTGACAACACAAACTCCTAGAGGTGACAAGATACGTGGCAACACCAACTCCTAGAGGTGACAAGACACGTGACAACAACACCTCCTGATGGAGGCAAGACACGTGACAACAACACCTCCTGGTGGAGGCAAGACACGTGACAACAACACCTCCTGGTGGAGGCAAGACACGTGACAACACCACCTCCTGGTGGAGGCAAATTTCCGCTGTGTAAATACCTTCCTGTGATAAGTACAAAGCACAGCCAAGTGGACGTACCTCCAACACAAATTATTTCACTGCGTCCGAATTATAAGAAAGTTATCTCGACGCCATGAACAGGACAGAAGACTGACTGACGCTACTGAGCATGTACACCTACACAGCCGGCACATAGGGTTCGGCTCAATGAATCCATTGTTTTACTGCTAACATCTTGGGTGCAGAATCTTGGTGCCTTGTAAGGTTTCTATGAACCTGCTGAGTTGCCCTCGACCGTCACCCGCCCCTGATCTATCCACCGGGGGATGAAGGCCTCCTAACAACGGCACCACGCCGCGGATTTGTGATGCAGCAATCCGTGTTGCTTGGACTGCACAGGAGCAAAATCTCACCCATCCATCTCCAACACACAATACACAGAACATTATCAAATTAAAGTAAGCACTTATTACACGTACGATTTGATATATATGGCAGGCTTAAGATTGTATTTTAAATTGATTAGGCGATTGTTAAATGTCGAATTATACACCTCAATCCAAGCTTACGGAGCACATACTTGTCACGCATCACCGCTACTGCTTACACAGCTGAAAACGTGGTGCTGGGTTTAGTCCGACAGCTTGCACGGGCAATCACAGCATCACAATACAGTAAATCAAACTCAGGTTCACAGCAGGGACAGCAGAGCAGAACAGCGTGCACAGCACACACTGCAGCACAACACAGCATCAATGCACACACTGCATCACAACACAGCATCAATGCACACACTGCATCACAACACAGCATCAATGCACACACTGCATCACAACACCGCATCAATGCACAGCAATCGCAGCACAACACAGCAATCACAGAAAACACAGCATCACAACACAGCAGAGCATCACAGCATAGGATGAAGATAGCACACACTGCATCACAGCACCGTGCACACTCCACATCATTACCAGTGGAACCCAGGGGAACCCCCATTACTCTGCTCTATTATCCTTACTTCATGCAGTGACTATCGATTTAGCCGTCATTGTCGGAACACAGCTGATGATGATGATAATAATAATAATGAAGCCTCCAAGCCGTGTGTGAGCCCACTGAGACGAGGTGGCACTGAGGAAAGCACATTGCTGTGACATGAGAAGCGAGTCAAGATAACAGAGGGAAAACACTGCATGAAACAGAACGCAATGCAGAAAGACGATTAAATTGTGTTCAGACAGAAAGGAAATATAAACCGAAACGACATAACACATATATAATGTATTTCATAAATAAAATAGTGTGGTAACCATACAAGCTGAACACCATATCGATGCGAGTTACTATCGTTACTCAATCTCTAAAAAAACACTGAAAATTATCTATAACTTAATTGGTGCCATGAATTTTGATTTAAAGCTTTCGTGACTGCAGTGATTCATATTCTTGGTTCTTTCGGTAAAGTCACCACGTAGAAGGGAAACAATAAAATAATAATATAAAACAATAAAATTCTCACGACGTTTCGACTGCAACACAAGCAATCATCATTGTTTCCCTTCTACGTGACTTTACCGAAAGAACCAAGAATATGGTGCCATGAAGTTTAATCATCGGAGACAATACGGTGTGGGGACTTCGTTGGTGAGAGAGAACCGCGGGGCCATTTAAAGATCGCAGAGCTTGCAGATGCCCACGACGGACACTCACAAGTCCACAAAAAACTCCTCCTCACGAAATGTTGACCCAACTCTTTTCACCAACAGAGGAGTGGACATTACTCGAGGCCATTGCAGGATCGCCACCACCTCGTCTCTCTCTCCTTCACAGGAACCCCCCACTCCACCCCTTGCTCCCCGCCCCCCCCCCCCCACCACGGTCTGTGCAACATCCCCCACCCACCACTTCCTGGCCTCCGAGGGATTGCGTGGCTGCGAAAGCCGATAAGCGAATTAAAATAATCGATTTTACGCTCGCGTAACCCCTCAAAATCCGTCAGGCCAGAGCCTGTCACAGTCTGGGGGGGCAATCCGTGGTCCGTGTGACATCAGCACGGGCCTCAACCTTCGCAGGTGTGATGTCAGAAATGTTCTATTATATCCCTCTTGTACGCGGATACTGACAAGTCACCAGACAATGGAAATCATCACAAATCCACTTACCCCCCCTTTCATAAATGACTGAGAGAAATTGAGTTATGCAATCTTTTACTCTTACCCAATGATGCTCCAGACACGCACGCGCACAGACACACACCCAACACACTCAGCCGCGGTCCCTTGCCTCTTCCTTCTGGTTGTCCGCCTGCTGGTGCTCCTCCTCCACCTGCATGAGCAGCTCCTTCAGCCTCTTCTCCAGCTTGCGCGAGTTCGCCTGCGCGTTGGCGCGCTCGCTGAAGCGCGGCCGGGGCAAGGCGCACGTGTTAGGTAAAACGCCGCTGGCGATGGCTAAACTAACACGCTCTACACGACCAATGGGAACAGCACCCTGTCAGCTATGATAACACGCCGGAACACGCGTGTGTGTGTGTGTGTGTAAATAGGAATGTCGTCATGGTAATAGCAGCAATGTCATGGTAATAGCAGCACTAAATATACAAGCACACAGCCCACTTGACCTGAGCAGCTGTGTGTATACCGTTTAACACGAAGGCTTTCGCGACCAATATTATCCATAATACAGGTTTTTTGGATTAGATCGCGTAAATATATAATTGTGTCGTTAAACCCACCACCACCCGACACAGCCAATTAGTAAGGTTTGTCACGTACACAGAACGTGCCAATTCGTTACTAGTACAGCACACCCGTGTGTTGGAGAGTAAATCCACAACATTTACAAACTGACTTGTGTTAAGCCCGAAACGTCGTGATTTAATTTAGTTGTTTTTTTCATTTATTTTTTATTTTATTTTATATTTTTTTACCTACGTGACTTTACCTTGCAGTCACGAAAACTTTAAATGTAGAATTTACAATCCGAGTAGGATGTTTCGCCACAAATTACCACTAGCACCATCAGGCGACAGCCAGAATCTGGCTGTGTCGGGCAGGTTCAACGACGCATTTATATTTACACGATATAACCCCAACAAAACAACCCCTGTATTATGTGTGTATACAATGTTCATTCTAACTTAGGTTCCCAAGCTCGTATTCCCGATTTCACTACCTGATAGAGATGAAAGCAGTTTGAGTGAAACGTCCTATGTCGATCTTAAGTTCAGTCATGGAAAGTCTTAGGGGCCACTGGTGAGGAGATGCATCGGCCAGAATGTGATCAATAAATTGGCACGTGTAAATAATAACTTTGGCATAAAACCGACACTTGGCCGAACCACAGAACGAAATAGAGATCAACGTTTAACCCTACTCCCGTCTGCATCACAAGCCTCTCCGTCCAGCGATAGGTACGTTTTGTGCGGTGTGCAACGCCGTGCTGCTCACCTCTCCTCCCTCTCCAGGGCCTCCTCCAGCTCGCGCACGCGCGCCTCCATCTGGGACGCAAGGCCTTCGCGACCCCAGCGCTGGGAGCCCTCCAGGTCCGACACGCGGCCACGCATCTCCTTGAGCTACACGTTGCGCAGGCGTTCGTTTGTTCGTTCGGGCACGGGCGGGAACCACGGGCGGGTACGCACGCACAGGCGGACACAAGCAGAGAGAGTCAGGCGGGAAGAAGCGCGTGCTCGCACGCTTGCCCGCACACAGAGGGCGCGGAGCCAACGTGGAGGGGGCTAAGCCGGCGTTATCTGAATGCACGAGCGTGGAGGGGAGTCATGGAAATCACGGGTAGAAATCGAGGGACAAACGCAAATGATTACGGATGCAAGAGCTGGCGCAGAGGTCATGATAGAGGAGAGCAGGACGTATGGGTGGGAGCTTGGCAGTGGGGGTCAGGTGCCTGAGGGGAGGTGGCCATGTCCGAGGGGGGCCGGGAATCACCTGCCGCTCCAGGGAAATCTTGTCGCACTCCAGATCCTGCCGCACCGCCTTCTCCTGCATGAGCTCCCCACGCAGCTGCTCTATCTGCAGGCACAGCAACCAGCACACACAGCTCCGGTAGTGCCCCCCCCAGGCTACCCATGCAGGCAATTACACACAGCCAGGCAACAGTCCGCCGAGATTCAGAATATTGTTCCCTGTTAAGAGCCCATTAAAATCGATCATACAAATGTTGTTTTTTCGAGGCGGGTGGCTCCTAACATTGTTAAATGAAGCAAAACGTATATTTTCATCCTGTTGCCGGTCCACTTCTGGATGAATACCTCCCCATGCTGTGTCAGTCATGGGTTTTATTAACCATATGTCAGTCTTTATTGTTGGTTCTTTCGGTAAAGTCGTGTAGGTATAAAATAAAATAAATCACGACGTTCCGGGCGCAACACAAGCGTCCGTCATCAGGTGGGACAGCGTGGTCCTGCTGCTGAAGCAGACTGTTTTAAAAGGTTTGAAATGGGTGTAGCTCAAGGGTCATAAGGAAGTGGCCGGGGCTAGTGATGTTAATGTGAGAAATTAGCATTATGTTAATGTGAGAAATTAGCGTGTAACTGTAAGATAGGACAGCGGCCTCCTCGACGAGGGCACGGAAGTGGCTATGTTAATGTGAGCGATTAGCATGTTGTTAATGTGAGAAATAAGCATGTAACTGTAGAAAAGAAGTAGAGTGGCCTCCTCGACAAGGGAGTGCCACCGCTCCTCACTATGGTGTTATTTAATCAGGTGATTGCCCATTGGGATTTATTGGCCAGGTATAATTTCAACCAGGCATGAGCGCCACATTGAAATTCTTTCACTCGCAGTTATTTAATCAGGCGAGGGCCGTGTCCATTATCTCCTGCCAGGGAGACTTTTGTAACTGCTGTTACGCATGGACCGCTATTCTTTTTCCACCATTTAGTGGCAAGTAATTTCAAATATGACATTTGGGATACGACACTGGCACTTGATAGCATAACCTCACAAAACCCATGGCGTCAGGTCTTGCCTTCTCGGCACACAACTGCGCGCTGTTAAGAAACATCGAGCAACCTTGGGAATGGCTGTTGTCAACTCAAACTCTGGCCCGGGTACCATTATCATGATCATGATCATCATGGTCATCATGATCAGCAGCAGCCATGCTCATTCTCATTGCAAGATGATGTCCTTGCAGATGAGGCCAAACGGAGTCTATATCCGCGCTGTGAATGTATGACCCCCCCCCCCCCCCACCTCTGCGTACGTTGTGCCCCCTCACGTCATGAATGCCCTGCTCCTTGCCACTGCCGATGCTTCGTGACACACTCGGTATTCGTTCCATGACATCACGGTCTGCTCAAGCGGCCTCGTTTTTCATTAATGTAGCTTCTCCCACGCAGAACTACCGCCGTAGTCGATCGGCATGCTGAGCTCGTTATCTCATTAGGCTCCGTACCCACAAGGGCTGCTTTCCAGCTAGTTCGGATGGTTTGTGAAGAAACAGCCGTGCAGTGTTGTCAATGTGATGGTGCTGTTCACACGGTAGCGACCAGCCTCCCTGCTCACACGAGCGTTGGGCACGGACCGAGTCCACACTGGTGGGCATTCCACATTCCTATGGCAGGAGTCAGTCCATCCACAGGACAACCACTCTTAACGCCTCACAGGGTGGCCGTTATTTTCTTCAAGCTGGAGATGTTATGGGCTTTGTTTTAATTTCAAATATCTTCAGGACCGATACGGGTGTTTAACGACTGCGGATGGCCATGAACTGCCTCAGGCAAATGAAGCTGGAATTATTGGAGACCGAGACTCGGAGCCAAGCTGTGGTAATCGTTTCACATGCAATTTCTAGAGCAGTGGAGGGACGTCCACAGTGGCGGCCTTGTTCCTTAATAGGACAGCAAGCACAATGTCAAACCCATTCATTTCTCACGTGTATCTTCGGGCATTCCAGGAGGTCATCTTCTCATGCATTACTCAAATCATGAGCTTTAGCATCTTGGGACTGTGAAATAATTGCGGCCAAACAATTAAGAGCCGCAAGCCATGCCTGTGCTGAGATTGATTGCCAATTAATGATGGGAAGGGCTGTTCAACGGGTTATTGTGCTCAGACACCGCACATTTGCCCAATTACAGCACTGCCCCAGCTGCTATGTGTGGTTTGCTCTATATCCAATTTATCGTGAACATAAACAGACTGCACCGGGACAAGTTAAACAGAAAAAATGCATTCCGACTCATACAAATTAAGAATGTGTGTTTATCTGAAATCAATATTGTTTTCATTTGGACACATTACGTGTAGCCTTAACAAACTTTTGGGCCAAGTGCCCTTAAGCGAGCACCTGCGAAGGCCCGCACGGCACACGAGAGGTTGGGTGGCCAGCACCACGTCCGGCCACCTTTGTCTCCTGAGTGGTGATGTTTACACACCGGCACCAGGTACTCATTTAAGTCGACCGAGGGGAGGCCCCAGGACCGGTTAGTATAATCGTCACTGTTGGTGGCAGTGCGTTAACCATTTCATCACCGCTCCCGTACACAAACACATCCCCAGACAGCTGTGCACTGTACTTACCCATATGAATATATATTTAATGATGTGGAGATGGATTATACGTGAAAAAAGACATTGTCTGCTTATAAATGTTTCTATTTATATTCTCCACAACGACGCTCGTGAATATTCTGAGTTACGTACGACGGAGGGGAAATGCCCGAGCAGATACGCAGGGCACGGGATAATGTTGGGCTATTTTTAGCATTGTGAACGATCGATGGAGGGGAATAATGCCTGTGGACATTTTTTGGGGGGAATATGCAGAACGTTTCCGGAAGGTTCAGCAGCACTCGCAGTGAACGGCATTCAGCCAAGCCAGCCAGCCGACCGCTTCGCACGGCCGCAGGGCGTCGCGCGATCCCCCTCGGCGGCGTTTCTACGAGCCACGCGGACCCTCACGACCCCGTGCAGCCATTCGCGCGAGCAATGCATTGCGTCCCCGTCGTCACTGCCAAAAATCTCGTTTTGAAATCCACCCGCAAAATAGTATCATTATAAAACCTGTTAAAACACTGGTCCCCACCCCCACCCCACCCCGGCCCTACAGGCTCCCCTCGCACAAAACGCGTCAATTCTCAATGGGTCCCCTATGAGTGGTTAGTGCGAAATTATGCCAACGTTCAGACTAAAAGCCTCTCTGCTCAATAAGGAGCGTAATGGTTGCACTGCATCACGTGGCATGTGTAAGAACCAAACCCCGTATTCGTGTTCGTATCCCCGCCCGACGCGGAGCAATCACCTTGACAGGCCCTTGAGAGAGAGAGAGAGAGCGAGCAGACCCCTCCTCGCTTGAGCACTGCTGAGAATTTCCCCACATTCGTTGTAATGTCGAACCACTGAGATGGCCGAGTACAGCTGCAGACTCCGAATCGTAAGATCTCGGGCTCATATCCAAGTCGCGGTCATCGTGTAACGTTAATGTCATTGCATGACACAGTAAAACCCTTCGATTGCGAGCATAATTCGTTCCGGAAACGTGTTTGTAATCCAAAGCACTCGTATATCAGCTGTGATCACGTGACGCTCGGCAGTACAAAGCGTATACGTGCACTACTCGTATTGCAAGACCTCGCTCGTTTATCAAATTAATATTTAGTTAATATTTTTGCTCGTCCTGCAAACACTCGCAGACCAAGTTACTCGCAATCCAAGTCCAAGGTTTTACTGCACGTATGAAATTATCCGATACCTTCCAGAGGCAATGTTCTTTGGCTGACGGTGTTGCTCGAGCCTGCTGTTGCGCGTATGATCCATCGTGTCCGAGTAAATCTCTGCGGGTGAGCGCGCTCCCCGAGATTTGCTTGGCAAATGGAAAGCTCCAAATCAATAAAAAATGCACGATAGTCATCCCTCCGAGAATTGACGCGATGTACACACTACTTCGTCAGCACCTCTCTCGGTTTGAAACCAACCACGCAGGCGCTAATGATGGATCGGTCCTAGATGCATCATTTACAGAGGTTACCCACTGGCTCAACAAGGACTTACGATGTCAATGAGCACTGCCCAATTACTCGACGGTGAGAGCGGGCGGCGGGGGGGTAGATTCCGTTTGATCAGAGCGAGTTCGGCTGAAGCGCACCGGAGCCACCAACTGGCCCGTCTCCTCGCCGCGACGTCCGCTGAAACTCACGGCTCTCTTATCGGCACAGTGCTGCAGGGCGACCGCGAGCCATCCCGATGAGTTAAATGATGACGTCACCCTGCTGCTGCTCTATTTAAGACCGGGAGCAAGTGGAGGGCTTTACCATTCTGGCGAATTGCCCGATGATGCTGGATGTAATTACCAGCGAAACGTCGTACTCAAACTGTAAATGTTGTGGATTCACTCTTCAACACACCGGTGGGCTAAAGTAGTGAACTAATTGTCTTTTGTCAACGTGACACTTTATTTTGCTGATTGGCCGTGTCGGGTGGTGGAGGGTTACGACACATTTATAAATAACGCGATCTAACCCAAAAACCTTTATTATGAATAATATTGGTCGCGAAAGCCTACGTGTTAAACATCCCCATTTTGATGGGATGCAAAGTGGGGCTGCTCATCTCACGAGCTGTAAATACCTGCCATAGCACAGCGTCCTCCTGTTGTACGTGCAGAGCATTTCAAGTGTGCGATTGCAGCTTATATTCAAATTGCTGTGCTGCATATACTGCGCGCGCGTCTTCAGCATAGACAGCGGTCTTCCATGCGGAACGGTCAAATTATTTCAATGAGAAAAACAACTTTTTTCCACACCACAGGCCTATGGGGCGAATTGATAAACTTAGTTAAAATTCACACACACACACATACATTATTGTCCTGGGCAAATATCAAGGCGGGTCATTGCTTCAACTGATGAAGCAGTGGTGCAGTGGTTCGCCACACTGTGCTGTGGAACCTTGCCACGGCTAACATCAGTGGCAAGTGATCTCTAAAGCGGCTTCCCTGGGTCTCCCCACCTCACAAGCCAAACCTGACCAGCGCGGTGAAGTATGGACAGACAACACACCCATGACCG